AAATATTTTTTGTTCTTTCCAAGTCATACTTCTCTGGCAATCTAACCATACCATTAGTTAATCTCTCCAAATAATCTTCTGAAAATTCCAACTCTTCCAATATTTTCCATAAGTAACCATTATAAAACGCATAAGAATGCATTTTCATAATTAGTACGAGATTGTGTAATATCAAGAACACCTTACCAATCCATGGATAAGACATACACAGATCAGATGCAAAATAGAGCCAGAACGCACAATGGATAAAGTTATAGACGCATTGAATTATCCAACCACTTGAATCCCACACAACCCAGCCCTTCAGACATGCGTATTGGAGGAAAAACGCAAAATATGTACCGAGATACATCGCTAAGTCAGTAAAACCAATCTTTACTATATCCCTAGTTAAAGTCCGCATGATTGCAGTTTCAAAGAATCCCTCACTAGTTTCAGAATATGATTGGACAATATTGTTCATCATAAGGAAACCTGTTCCTATCCAAAAAAGTAAATATATGCCATAGAATTCTGAATTTTTGAAAGAAGCGGAATCAAAAATAGTTGACAGTACAGAGTAGAACTTGACATCCCCAAATCCAGACCTGAATTTATCCTTTTCTGTTTTGGAAGAATGTTTTTCGATTATATCGTGGTCTTTTATTTTTCTTCTCCGAAGCCTGATGTGTGCTGCATTGTGAATTTGGTCCAACTTCGTCATTAGTGGCTCTAAGTTGAGTTGTTGACCATTGTCAAAAGACTGAAGCATACTTTCGGATAAAATAAATTTTGAATCATCTGCATCATACAAATTGGATGATTTGGAAATATTAAGCTTAATCGCATTCTCATATTGATCTTCTAAACCCTGCAGTGGTTCCTTGTCATGATATTCATCATCAAGACTAAGTGATTTCCTCCTTCCAGTATTTCTACCAATAATTGTAGAAAGCTTCTCCTCAGCATTAAAATTGTGAATCATTTTATTGAAAATTCACTGTCTATGTATTGGTATCGTCCATAAGGTGCCGACTTTTCACTGGCCCATGGATCGTAGTCTATTTTATATTTGAAAACGCGAAAATCCCGGACTGGTATTTAATTGTGTGTATAAATTCTCATCGTATTGTCTCATCTAATGTCGCTTTTGTGAACTGTAGTCTGCTATTATTCTGAGCATCAGAGCATTTATTTATCATTATAAGTTTATGCATCAAAATAACCTTGAATAGATTTGATTTGTTCATAATGCGGCTCAAGTCGCAAGTTTTAACGCAGCTGGTCGCAAGAAGCTTTCCGTGTAGTAATCGAACCAAATCAGTACGCATCCAATTTATAGTAGACTTAGTATAGCGATTGGAATAATAATATATAGATACACATACAAAATGAACTATTTAAGCGTGGTACAGTTATTCCAACTACGATGCTGTCCGTTAAAATATTAAATAAAAAGTGCAAATCATGCTCGGTACCGAAATGAATCCGAACCAGCACATAACGTTACCCAATACTTTTCTATTCTTCATAAATTTCGTGTTACAAAGAGCAACTAGAGGAAGCTGAGACATTTGCATCACTAATAAATAACCCCTCAATCTGTTAAAGATAACAAACATAATCAACTCGTGTACTAAACTGGACAAAATAAAAGTGCCTAATATGGCTTTCAGATTGTTAAGCTTGAGTACACTTATCGACGAATGATAGACATGTCGGAGTAAGAATTTATGAACAGGACGATTCCAAATTCTAGCATATTCTGACCAGTCGGAACATGACCACCATGGTCCATAGAAATCTCTATCTGCAAATCTACTCAACTCAGCAATAACATTTAGAATTGCATCCCAAATCAAAAAGAAAGTAAAAAGATATTCCATGAGAAAGGGAGGAATCATATCAAGTAAAATGAACATACATCCTTTCCATTTATCTGCAGTAGGCATATCTTGTAAGGCTATCGCACGTTGGATAATCGGATACATCCAGTTCTGGGCCACTAGAATCATGAGAAATATAATACCAAAGACGCCGCAAGTCTTTTCCAAAACATACTGCCATCTGATCCTGCGTGTACGTGGGTAGTTCAAAGTATATACCAAAGTAGGGAACATGGAATATTCGAAGAAATTAAATAAATTAATATTCTGTGGAAATTTGACTATATTCTTTTCCTGCAAGTCATGGATATCATTCTCCAAATCGAATGGTTCAATTGGGGACTCACTAGACATGGTAGTTGCACTGGACTGGTATTCTAATTCAAACTTGCAGAACCGAATACTGCCATCCAAAATATTTTTTGTTCTTTCCAAGTCATACTTCTCTGGCAATCTAACCATACCATTAGTTAATCTCTCCAAATAATC